ATGGTTTTCATACTTGAAACTATTTGACACAGCATTGGATTTGCTACCAACCGTACAAGAAGGTGTATAGAGAGGAGTAACTCTCGATATTGGCAAGAACTTCACGAAAAATCAGATTGTGACCTGGTGAAGTGTTAATTCATGTTCATCATAAATTAACGTAATTAAACATTTTCTTGGTGACGAAACTGGTGCAACAATTTTCATGATTGAAGCTGTCAATGGGAAGAAGATTTCCGATTATACTGAATATGAAAATGAAGATGAAATCATCTTACGACTAGGCTCACAATTTCGTGTGAAGAGTGACGTTTTCAAACAATCGAATGGATCATATCTTGTGCGTTTAATTGAACTTGGTGAAAACAATAATCAACCATTAGCAGCACCTATGAATCAAATACAATTTAGACAAGCAACGTTGCAAAAAAGTACATTGAGTGAGTTCATAAATATAATTTTTTTTCTGATGATATTAACATATTGCATGATGACTGTCTTTAAAAGTAGATCATAGACAAATGAAAACTACCGAAACTATTTATTTCCACATAGGTTGAGTTGCATCAACTGAACTATTTAGTATCAAAATAGAGTCGACTCATTGTTAATGTATGTCAATGATTTAATTCATTATATGAATCCAATCAGTAAAAGATAGAAATACCAAATTATAATTGTCGTTCAAATCTATCCAAATCATGTCTGTATCCTATTGAATGAAGTCGTTGTCTAATGTATTGAAAATCTAATTCTAATTTTTATCGTTGTTGAATTCCTCTAGAAATTATCTTTCATCAAAAAGTTCTATTATATCCAACACATAGACTCTCTCTGTTTATAATAAAGATGTGTTTTCATACACAGTATTTTTTTATGATAGATACAGGATATCGACAATTTGATAGAAGTATGCCTCCAGAGGTTTTACATTTTGTTTCTTAGTGAACCGTCGTAAGCTATCAACTTAAATGCTAGTATAAAATGTGTGGGTGTTAGCGTCTTCTTCATTCACGCCCAAATTCATACTGACACTTGAATCTATTCGTCCACTGTCTACTCAATCAATGCTAGATATGTATAGAAGGATTATTTTTCGATACGATAATCATGTTGTTGCGTTGCCTGGTAACATCTTTCTACATCTAATTACACTATGCTGAAATTTACTCAGCGAAAATTGTCTAAGCTTGACATCTTATTTTAGAGATGAAAACAAAGTGAAATATGTCATAGTGCAAGTTATGAACATGACTTACATGATTTAAAAAAACACAAGGAACTAAGACTATATAGCACTCTGACATCAATCATTTTTGTAGTTTTTTCCTTTTTTATTATTTCCTTCTTATCTCAAGTTATGCATGGTTCGCATTATAGTATACTATATTAGTGTGTTTGGCAAGTTAACTGTTTTTTTTTCTACTCTTATCTTCTGTAGAATTATACCACATTCAACTATACAAAAGTGTCTTCTTATTCTTTTATAGCAAGAAAACATTCTTAGGCATTGTTGAATAGAGTATATCTCAAGAAACAAACTGTTGATGATTCTCAATAGAAAATAGTGATGAGAATTAGTTTATTTTCCTTTTGTATCTATATGCATCGTTTTTCTCACATTAGTTTTAACTATTGTAATAATCGATGAATAACTATTGAGGGTGAGGGTGTGGGTGTGGGTGTGGGTGTGGGTGTGTGAATGTGTTTGGGTATGAGTGTGGGTGTACATGTTTGTTGCACCCATACCCACCCACCCCACACCCACCACGCACACCCACACCCACTCACGCCCTGATGTTCAAAGTAAATATATCAAAAGATGCAGCAAGCTCTGAGTTTTCTTCCTATATATAATAAGTTTAAAAACAAACAAGCTATGGCAATGAAAATACAAAAACTGAAAGAGTATACTTTCAATTTACGTGGACTGTATATTCAACGAACATTTAAAGATTTTGAACATCATGAAGTAATGTTTTATATTAATTATTTTCCAGGAGATAAAAATGGGTCAATGTCATATCTATTCTTGACCGTATATGATGAAGTATTTCTCAAGACTTATAAATAGTTTTTCAAGCAGACTGCTTCCATTTGTTGAGAAAGTGTTCCTATATGATGAACGTCCTTTTGAACAAGAGTTTTTCATTCGAATTAGTCAATCCTCTCCATATCTTAAAATTCTTGATTATAGACAATCAGTTACCACAAAATGATAAATATGACCAACAAGTCAATAAAGACAATCGAAAATTTCCAATTATAAAATATTGCCATCTTATTCAACTTCATCTTTTTCTGCACTCATAATGATCATATTGCACAAGCTTTAGCTGCCACAAAAACGTTTTTATCAAACAATATTCTTCTTGGTGTTGGGTATAATTGTCTAAAAAGGGTAACCCACAATTTTATAAGAGATACAACATAAATGAATTGTAGAAAAATCAGACATTTACCGATTAATGATAAAGAAATCGATTTTCCCACACATAATCATATGTATTTTCCTAACTTAGAAAAATGGCGAATTTTTCTTAGATTAATTTAAAAACCAGGTCAAATGAAAATTTGAAGTTTTTTTCAAATCATTCTAATTATATTTCTTGTAAACAGTTGAAAATATCGGTAAATTAGTTAAGTTTGCGAAAAACAATCTTCCTTTTTGCATTAAATACGTAAACTTAGCGTAAAACTCTCTCGTTTATTGCCTTTTTTTTGTTTTTTCCGAATAGAAAAGTACAATTCTATTGAGAATACGAAGGGTATGAATCGAACTGGAGTTCGCGTCTGAAAAAATCTCGTGAACCGAATCCAGGTTCAAAACTTTTGAACTCGACGAGTTCTATAAAAAGAAGAGTACTATATGACGAGTAAAGTAATAAGAAACTTCTCTTCTATATAGATACTTCCTACTTAACAAATGTCGGAAACGGTGGCAATCATCTGCCAGAGGTGAAGAATCTGCTGTTGAAAGGCAGAAAATGCCGCTCATAACAGATAAATTGTTGAAAAGATTTTCCTTGCTATCAAAATATAGAAAAAGTCAAATTCTCTTTATTGCTCGCACGTTCGAAGAAAGTGAAAGAGAAACCGATTTACTTAACAAATAAAACACTCATATAAAAAAATTAATCTTTATTAAGCATCAATTGATAGACGCAGTTTTCTTTCCAAAAACTGATGGGTTGTATCATATTATAAAATAAACTGTTTGAATACTATCTATAATCCGATGACAAAAGTCGCGTACGAACTTTGCACGCTTATTGCTACAAAAGAAGTGTTTCTTTATTCGAATTCTCAAATGGATAGATGTTCCACAACTTCCACGAACGCGGGTATGCTATGCTGTGGCATGGGTTTGAGTGTGATTGAGTCTGAACGAAGTCTCAGAGTAACACTCATACACCGCACAAACGCCCACACCCACATCCACATCGACATCCATGCCCACGCCCCACACCCACAAAAGAAGACGATGTGTGAATTTTTATTTCTCTATAGAATTAATCACATCCTTGAAAAATATTATCAGTCAAAACATTAAGAAAAATCGTCCAAGAAACACTTTTTAAAAATCTATGTGTGCAAAACAACACTCGATAAAAAAATCACTTAAAAGGTTTAAAAAAAACATATATCAAAATAGAATTGGAAAATTCATGCTTATTCTTGATTTTTCTTCAGTTTTAATGGTATATTTGTTATATCTGAAGAAAACAAGCTCATGACTTCTTCTATATTCAAGTCCGGTTCTATTTGTGTTTCAGAGCCATCCATAGCAACTAACTCATATTGATGCAAATGTTCGATAGAGAGTTGAAATTTAACACATGCTTCATTTAATATATCCGAAATTAAAGTTGTAGTATTGCAAGGTATATCAATTTGCTGATTTTCGAACATAATCACACTGTGAAGATTTGCTTGACAGAACAATTGAAATAGCATCCCAGTTGTTGACGAATCAATATCTTCCAAAGACATATCATCATCATCATCCAATAAAGCATCGTTATGCATTAAACAATAATAATTCGCATTTAAATGAAAAAGTTGGCATGCAACTTGATGCAAGCGTGGAATTTTCATTGAAGCGGGGGTGGGTGTGGGTGTGTGGGTGTGGGTGTGGGAGTGTGTGGGTGGGTGTGGGTCGAGTCTAGAACAACCACGTACACCCCCACCCCCCCCCCTCCCCCCCCCCCCCCCCCCCCCCCCCCCCCCCCCCCCCCCCCCCCCCCCCCCCCCCCCCCCCCCCCC